CCCTGTAGCTTCTCAGTTCTCAGACTGGGAACAGATCCCTTCATTTGCAATGGAAATGTGAGTAACCTAGTTTGCCCGCTCAGGAGGGTCTCTGTGCAAACGTTGGAAGGCATTCTCTCTTCCTCCTCTGAGCCAGGAAATGAGACCAAAGGCAAGAAGACCTGGGCTGTTGAGGGAAGAGAGGCTGAAGTCCACAATCTTAACCCCAGGTGGACAGCCACGTCAGGGTGGGGAGTCCTGCCCCGGCTTGCAGACGCGAGTGACATGGAATGATGGCCTGTCTGGCAAGTGGCGGGATAGGCTTAATTTTTTTCTGCTGTCCTCATACTTCCTGATTCTACCTTTCCAAAACATATGAGAGTTTACATGATGCTTTTAGGGACCTGCTGTTATGAAAAAAATCATGGCCAGGCATGGTGGCTCACTCCTATAATCTCAGTACCAGCTGAGGCAGGTGGATCATTTGAGCGCAAGAGTTTGAGACCAGCCTGCGCAAAAGTGAGACTCCTCTTTACTAAAAATAGAAAAATTATCTAGACATTGTGGTGGATTCCTATAGTCTGAGCTACTTGGGACGCTGAGGCAGGAAGATCCCTTGAGCCCAGGAGTTTAAGGTTGTTGTGAGCTATGCTGATGCCACAGCACTCTACCCAGGGCATAGAGTGAGACTCTGTCTCAAAAAAACCCAAAACCCATGATGTATTACATACTTATTATAAAGTATACAGAATTTCAACACATGAAATAAAAATCGCAACCTTAATTCCCTGCAAATAAATTGAAGATTATTTATTTCTTCATATGAGATATTATATTTTTATATATTTAAAGTATTTTTTATATATTTAATTCATAATTATTTTATAAAAACATATATAACAGTTTAAATTCAGGTTTTTTTGAGCCTGACTTATAAAATTGTCAGATAAATTCACTGCTAAAATTTAGCATTATGACCAAAATCAATAGAGGCGCGTGCAGCCGACCGAGCCGGCTCTTGGGTCCTGCCGGGGCAGGTGTCTCTCCCAGACCGCGGCCCCGCGTCTCTCCCGCTCCGAGGCCGCACACCATGTTCTCGCGCTGCTGCCGGCTCGAACTGTGAGCATTTTCCAGCAAATCTCAGAGAAGCAGAAGTAACACATATCCTGGGAGCTCACACCAAACACCGCCGAGGGCAGACTCGCCTCTGGTGGACTCTTCGGCGTGTTTCCCACACGGAGTCTCTGAAGTTCAAGTTGCGCTGCGGGACATCGCGGCATCTCTGCTCTGCCCTTCGTGGGTCCAGCTTGGGAGAATCGCTTTGTGAAGAGTGGGACAGGTTCTTCTTTGATTTCTGGGAAATTAACAGTATACCCATTTAATTATGCTGTAAGTCATTATTGAAAACAGAGAAAAGGCTCTATTACCACTTTGACATCCATCCTATGGGGAGGACCAAGTACATTTCACTGCCGCCGTCAACTGGTCCTGTGTCCGCGCATATTACAGTTTCATAAAATCAAATACAGGTTGTTTCTTCCGGCCAGTTAACTCACCTGATTAGATTGAGAAACTCATTTCTTTCTAAGTCCATTATTCATGGTGGACGTCAGGGTGTGGGTAATTCCCTTCTGCCAAGCAGCTGCGATTCAGGCCACAAAGTACAAAGTACATGAGGCCTTTTACAGTTAGTTCTGGGCCGGCTGCGACTCATTAAAGCCAGCCTGGAGCCTTAAAGGGGCAGGAGTCCTGGGCTCGCCTAAGCCTAGGCACCCCTTCCCTCACCTGCTGCCCCCCTGGTCAGTCTCTACGGCCTCCGTCGGAGGGGGGGGGAGAACTCTGGGTGTCCAGGGGCGTCTACCCAGATCCTGTCACAGTACTGTTGGGGAAAGTTCTGAGTTACGCCATCATTTAGTTAGAAATCCAGCTGATCAGGAAGTTTGGTGTTCCTCAGTTTCATGAAAGCACCATTTCTAATGTACTTCGTGTGCTGAATATTTAAAATATCCTTGTTGGGCCACACCCGTAATCCGTGGGTAGGGTGGTGGCCACACACACTGAGGCTGGCAGGTTTGAACCCGGCCTGGGCCTGCTAAACAACAATGACAAATGCAACAACAACAATAAAAATAGCCAGGCAATGTGGCAGACACCTGTAGTCCCAGCTACTGGGGAGGCTGAGACCAGAGAATTGCTTAAGCCCGAGTTTGAGGTCGCTGTGAGCTGCGCATGGCACTCTACTGAGGGCAATAGCTTAAGACTGTCTCAAAAAAAAAATAGTAACAAATAATCCTTGTACATTGTGAGACAGTATCTTATGCTCCAAAAACAAGCCTTTTTCTTAGAAAATCATTTCTTTGTGTCTCACATATAAAATGTATCTGAGCCACATGTCTGTTTCTAAGCATCCCTGGAGCCTCTGGACATCACGAGGTGTGAGCTTGTGACCTGAGGAGACGTTTCTTATCACCCATTTTAAAGCTTTGTAAGGTCGTTGAACAGTCTGCGTGCAACAGTCTTGTCTACACTGGGTGGCAAACCCTCTGGGAGTTGAGAGGGAAAGGCACACATATTTTATTTCTTCTTGAGGGGAGTCCCAACGTGACATTGAGGTGGGTCCTGAAAACAGATCTGTTAACACAACCACGGACAGGTCCCAGTGCACATTACCTCGGCATCCCACTTAGTGATTAGCTATTGCCCAGCTAACCTTGCAGGGACTGCTTTGAAGCTTCTGGACCACACAATCCCCATGATTATGTTAGGCCCTTTGTAGACTTTGGATTCTCCCATGAACGTGAGACATTCAGTCACTTTTCCCATGACATTGGCCTCACTCCTGCTTCTCTGTCCTCGCAGGGCTGCGATGATCTCACTCACCCCACCGCCTCCATCTTCTCTGTGCCACAGTCTGTCCTCCACCTGCCACCTGGTGCTGCAATTGTGTCTTTCCCCTGCCCAGAACCTTCCATGGCTGCCCCTTGCCTGCAGAGTCATTCTAAGTCTACGAAGTGGCTCACGGGACTCCTTGCTCACAACTCTCCATTTGACATGTTCTATTTTAAAGTCTCAAATCTCTGGCTTTCCTTCACAAACAGTAGCAATGCCCTGATAAGCTCTTCACACTCTTTTCTTACTTAATTCTTACTGACCATGGTTCGCTGCAGGCAGCATCTCCCCTTGACATGCTCACCCACCCTCCCAGTGGGACTCAGCCTCCTTGATGGTGCCACACAGTGACTGTGGCATGTGCGAATGAATGGCTGTCAGTGCAGAGCTTCCCATCCAGCGAATGTGGATCAGGTGGGGATAACCAGTCTTACTCCTCAGCTCCTTGTGCCCCTAATGCCAACACATTGAATTAGAACATTACAGGCTGTTAGACCTGTCGCTTCATCAGGCAGTGAACAGAGGGTGGTGAGGAGACGTTCTGCAAAGGGCAGGTTATAAACATCGTAGGGGCAACTACTCAGCTGTGCAGTTATATCAGGAAAACAGCCACAGACAATAAGCAAACCAATTAGAGTGGCTATATTCCAATAAATCATCAATTACAAAACTTTATATTCCAACAAAACTTTATTTATTTGCCAATTAGAGTGGCAACGTGGGACCACAATCTGTCAGCCCCCTGGGTCACAGGGAGACTTATTTCAGTTGAAGATTTATTCTGGCTCTGTTGAGGTGTAGAAGCATTTTCCAACTGTACGTGGTCCCGAGGTGAATACTTTGAAGGCTACTTGTGCCACGTCACCTCCTACAGTTTTATCAGAGATGGAAGCTGAGGGAGTAAGACTGAATTTGCCAGTGCTCTTCCAGGCACAAAATACAGTGTGAACAAAACAGACAAGCACCTCTCCCCTCACAGAGTTGCATTCACAGCTGAGGCAGAACATAAAACAAATGAGTAAAACATAGACGGGTAGATGGCGCCTGGAGGACAGACGTGGGGGCGGAAAGCAGGACGTGAAATGTAGGAGAAGGTGAACTTTCAGATTAGGTGATCAGGAAGGACTCTCTGGGAAGGTGACTTGTGATTGAATAATTAAAGAAAATGAACGACCTAGTGATCCATGTGACAGAGTGGAGGGGATCCTTCCTTCCCGGCAGAGGGAGCAGAGAGTACAAAGGCCCCAGAGTGGGAGTCTGCCAAGTGTTCAGGGAGTGTCAAGGGGGCTGCAGCTGATCTTAGCAGGGGATGAGATGGGAGAGGTAAGGGAAGGCCAGACCACCTGCAGCCTTTGGTGTCACTGTAAGAATGTGGATTTTACATCTGAATAAAGGAAGACACTGGAGAATTCTGACCAAAAGAGGGGATGGTCAGGTTTGCATTAAGTAGTTCTTGCTGTTGAGAACAGACAGCAGGAGAGGTCCTCAGGAGGCTATTGCTATGGTCCTAGTGAGAAGTGATGAAGTCTCAAGACCTGCAGGCACAGAGGACAGGATGGGGGTTCTGAGCATGGCAGGAGCCAATGCACTGCCACAGCCCACCTGCCAATGAGGGCGAGGTCACCCAGGAGCAACGACCATTCCTTAACTGTTGCTGTATTAAGTTAGGTTGGTTAAAGGTTGCAAAACCAGATTCCTATTTCATGGCTGCCTCAGATTATAAAATACTCTCCTCGCCACTCTGAGCCTCAGCTTTGTTCCCTTCTCCAGTTATTTATTTATGAACTAGCATCCTCAGCACATGCTGATGTCCTGAGAATCACATACGTTTTCAGCGCTCACGTTAACTTCCAGGGACAGAATGTAAAGATTCCGCTGAACCACTCCTTTCTCCTCCCACCTTATGAACAGAAAGTGCGTTCATATTTTACTTATTTGTGTTGGATTTTGCTGGTTTTCTTCTTGGCTATTTATTTTATTCTATTATCTTTTTTATCTTGATAAATTTAGAAATACAGTGTTCTTTTGTTACCTGGATGAATCATATAACGCATAGTGGGAGCTTTCAGAATGCCTGTCACGAGAACAGTGTAGAAAGACCAACACTGACTGTTACTGATTTTTTTTTTCAGGGAACAACTTAATTCTTTACTGAAGACGTATAACATTTTTTATGAGAGCCAGAAAAATCTGCATATTTTATATGATCAGGTAAGCTCATCAAAGAAACATAATGCAGTTTGATTCACAATAAATTACTGGGAAGAAACAGGTGCATATTTAACTTAATTATGATTTTTATTTTTAGACTAAATCACAAAATCCTGGGTTTGGAATATCTGTGACTTTCTAAGCACGTTTGAGACTGGAAAGCATTTTAAAACAATTTTAATGACATGTTCACTTTCTGTTTCAAAAAGGAAGTAGGGAGGTGTGACAGTGTCTGTTGACAGCAGTTCACTAGAAACCTGTTTATTAATTCTTCATAATGCGGCTGGACATATATAGAAAGATGTTTTTGAGACATCATTTGTGCTGGAGAATATTTGAAAAATCTTAAGTCTCCATCAATGGTGGGTCATTCAAATAAAGCATGACCTATCGGTAACATCAAGTTTTTAATTCGGTGGTAAAATGAATGAGTTGGATTTGATAAACGGGCACCATATGGTAGGAATTCTTCCCCATGTGTTGTTACCCTTAGAATGCTGCAGTTTCCGGTGACCTACATCAGGTACATTGGGAGAACAGTAGAGATTCCATTGAACCCTTTCTTTCTGTCTCACACATTTATGAACTGAAAGTACTGTTACTGCCTTTTATTTCTGTTGGTTTTGTTTATTTACCTTTGTTATTATCATTAGAATTTGCCGCCCCTGATTAGATCTGCAGATTTGATGGCATAGCATGACCTTTAGGCCACCAGGACCTGGCTCAAATCTGCAGTTTGGATAGAAGGAAATTTATAAAGCAATCGGGGCTTTACTACTGAGCTTAAATGATTACTTCAATCGGTATTTCCATTACTTTCCCAAATTTAATAGTATACTGAAGGTCATAACTAATCCCTGTATAAAGAAATGGGCCTAATTTTAAATTATTTCAATATTGTCCTGTATTTTAGATCTTTAATAGATGTAACTGTAAAACTTAGAAAAAAGTAAAAAATTTAGGAAAGCAATGATTTATACTTTAATTCAACTCTTTCCACTAAGTTCATGATGGCGAGCTTGGGAAAAGGTTTGAGTTTTGGTGTTATGGACACGTAAGTTGAGGCATGTCCTTTCTGATTCTGCAGAATTGGGGCCGGTGAATAGAGCGGCGATATTATCTAACTTCATGTTGTAAAAAGATGTATAACTCCTGAGAATACATAGGGGGCAAAGGGAGACTGAGGCAGACCAGGCAGAAGCCAGTGCAGACGGCTCTGGGGAAGCAGGGAGCTGTGGCCACGGTGGGGATGTAGTTGGATATTTCTGTGTTTTTAAGGGAGAGCTGATAGGACTTGCTGATGAATCGAATGTGAGGTGTGAAAGGGAAAAGGAAGGAGAATCTCAAACTTTTGGCCTGAGTGACTAGAATAAGGGCGCTGTTTACCAAGATGAGGAAGGGTGAGGGGGCGAATATCTATGTCAGAAAAAGCCACAGTTTGCTTGGGAACACACCAAGTTTGATAACTGGAGCTCAGGGGAAGGTTTGGGCTAGAGATGGAAAGTTTGGAGCTTGGAGCTTAGAGGTGGCATGCGAGGGTCCTTGAGATGACCAGGGATCCTGGGGTAGAATAGACCCAGGGAGAAGGGGTGAAAGGGTGGAGATGATTAGATTAGATGGTGTAAGTAAGTCTTCTGGGGTGATTTATGTATTAATCTCTGAGGAGATACTTTCTGACATTAGAAAATAGCATTGATTGATAATAGTCAGAGTATTTCTTCTTGAAAGCAAGAATTAGATAACATCAGAAGAGCAGCTATCCTGAGTTTTTGATGTAAAGGATTAATTGGGATCTAACTAGGCAAAGAAAGGATCCTATACATCAGTGACTAACCCGTTAATCTACATCATATACTGCCATTTCAAAGAACAAATGGTATTTGCTTGTTGAAAATAACCGATCTCGTACACCAGGGAATACTACGCAGCCCTAAAGAAAGATGGCAACTTTACCTCCTTTGTGTTTATATGGATGGAATTAGAAAATGTTCTTCTTAGCAAAGTATCTCAAGAATGGAAGAAAAAGTATCCAGTGTACACAGCCCTATTTTGAAACTAATTCATAGCTTTTATAGGAATGTCATAACCTAATTATAGCCTTAGAATATGGGAAGGGGGTG